TATATATATATATATATATATATATATATATATATATATATATATATTGTATATCGAGATTTATCTTAAAATAGTGAAATAATAATTTTGGTCCATATCAGCCAGCTCTACGTGAGACTGATAGTCAGACAGAAAATGACTATTATAAGTTACTGCTGTTTTATAAACTATTGAATTGTGAGGTGGACTCAGTTTTACGCAGCTTTTTAAATTTGGGCTTCATTTATGTTCAATAAGTGATGGCTCGGTGGAACTGTTTTTTTTTTTTTTTGTTCACTTGGCGTTTACATTTAAAACCAGTTAAGAACAGGTCATTGTTATTATGGCCTGATGTCTAAACATTAAAATAACTGGAAGGTGGTTAGTCTTTTCGCCACCCTGTCTGAGCTAATGATCTTTTTTATTTACACGCTGTTCTTTCAGGCAACATGACAGAATGTCCAGGCCACTTTGGGCACATAGAGCTGGCCAAACCAGTTTTCCACGTCGGATTTATAACGAAGATCATGAAGATTCTCCGCTGCGTCTGCTTCTTCTGCTCCAAGCTGTTGGTGGACTCGGTAAGTGCTTCCGCTGTAGTACTGGACGAGCAGAACGCGTTCTTCATTTTAACTCTGGTGTTATTCTCGCGTCTAGAACAATCCCAAGATCAAGGAGATCCTGGTGAAATCGAAAGGACAGCCCAGGAAGCGTTTAACCCACGTTTACGAGCTGTGCAAAGGCAAAAACATTTGTGAGGGCGGCGAGGAAATGGACAACAAATTTGGAATGGAGCCACAGGAGACAGAGGAGGATATCACCAAGGAAAAGGTATTTGGGTCGAGCGTTTACTGATAGTCACCCGCTGCTTTAGTTGTTGGCGTTGGTGCTTTGGCTCCACCCATTTTCCTCACGCTCATCACCTAACTGTGACCCAGGGCCACGGTGGCTGCGGCCGCTACCAGCCCCGCATCAGACGCTCGGGCTTGGAGCTGTACGCCGAGTGGAAGCACGTAAACGAGGACTCACAGGAAAAGAAGATCCTGCTGAGCCCCGAGCGCGTGCATGAAATCTTCAAACGCATCTCGGACGAGGAAGACATCATCTTGGGTATGGATCCCAAGTTTGCCCGACCGGAGTGGATGATTGTCACCGTGTTGCCTGTGCCTCCGCTGGCCGTGAGGCCCGCCGTGGTCATGCAAGGATCTGCTCGCAACCAGGTATAAGCGTGTTCCTGAAACTCGAACATTGTCGCCTGTACGTGTAAGATAAAATGTCGACCTCTGGTTCGAAGGACGACTTGACGCACAAGTTGGCGGACATCGTTAAGATCAACAACCAGCTGAGACGAAACGAGCAGAGCGGCGCCGCTGCTCACGTGATCGCTGAGGACGTGAAGCTGCTTCAGTTCCACGTGGCCACCATGGTCGACAACGAACTGCCAGGCCTGCCCAGGGTGCGTTCATATTTACTGACAGAGGGGGTTCAGCTTCATTTGCTGTAGCTTTTAACATCTTGGTTTGTTTTCTTCCTTAAGGCGATGCAAAAGTCTGGCCGCCCTCTCAAATCCATAAAGCAGCGTCTCAAAGGAAAGGAGGGCAGGGTGAGAGGTAACCTGATGGGCAAACGAGTGGACTTCTCCGCCCGAACCGTCATCACCCCGGACCCTAATCTGCAAATCGACCAAGTGGGCGTGCCACGATCCATTGCAGCCAACATGACGTTCCCAGAGATTGTTACACCCTTTAATATTGACAGGTACGTCAAAGGAGTTGTTCAATAACAGAAAAAATTGAGTTGAACGTCGGTTAACGAGTTCTGATAACTTATTAGGTTGCAAGAGCTGGTACGAAGAGGAAACAGCCAATATCCTGGAGCCAAATACATCATACGCGACAACGGAGACAGGATTGACCTGCGGTTCCACCCGAAACCAAGTGACCTTCATCTGCAGATCGGCTACAAGGTGGGATAAAACCGAAGATCGTTCACGACCAACATTAACACCGACTGGACTGACTTTTAACACAAGTGCAAATGATTTTATTTCACGTGACTGAATGCGGTTGTCCTGATTTCAGGTGGAAAGGCACATGTGCGACGGTGACATCGTCATCTTCAACCGACAGCCCACACTTCATAAAATGTCCATGATGGGCCACAGGGTGCGGATTCTGCCGTGGTCCACGTTTCGACTCAACCTCAGGTATCGAGATTTAAAACAAACTCACTTGGTAGAAAAGTTGTTTGAAGCGTGGACAAAGTTCTAGGCCTGTCACGATGCCAAGTTTTGCTGGGCGATTAATTGTCTCAGAAATTATCGCGATAAACGATAATATTGTTTGAAATTTGACAATAATTAGTAATTATTGTAAACTTTAAGAAGAAATGTTGGTTAATTTTTGTGTGTAGTACCTTTTTTGACCTCTGGATGGCAGAAGACTGTTTGACCTGAAGGATGGATAGTGAGGGAGCGAGCAGCGTGTCTCATTAAGAAAAATGGGAGGGAGGCCCCTTGATGTGACATGGGCTGTCGTTCCTGTTTTTCGGTTCTCAAAATGGCGGACGCTCGGTGTGGTTTGAGCTCTTTAGCATAGCATTTTTCACACAAAGCTTTTAATAAAAAAATCAGTAAACAAGTTCTCAGCTTCTTTTTGCAGAGAAAAACAACTTTTTACATGAAGGCACGGGTTTCAACTGTGAATTTGAGTTTCGACAAGACGGAGGTCGGCCCGTTAGCTTAGCTCGTAACTTAGCTTCTCAACTTAGCTGTGTTTATCGATCCAAACGTGCGATTTTGGACAGTTAAAATGGATTTTAAAGAGAAAGGGAGGGGTCAGTGAAGAGCACCGGAGATGAGCCTTTTATCATCCAGTGTCTTCAGTAGAGAGAGAGATGAGGAAAAGATAAAGCCGATAAATGAAAATGAGGTTGATAATTATCATTTATCATGTGATTAATTGATTTATTGTTTATCGCGACAGGCCTACAATGTACCGTAATTTCTGGTCTATACAACACACCTGACTGTAAGCCGCACACACAAATTTTAAAATAAAGCACAATTTTGTTCATAAATAAGCTGTACTGGTGTATAAGCCAGTAATATTAGAAACGATACACAGCTCCTGATAAAATGTGCAGCTTTTGTTTGGCCACCAGATGACGTGTCATAGACAAGTTTGTTGATGTCTGATCGCACAGGACTTCATGTTGAGACTCTCTGACTCAACCTACCGAATGAAATCAAAAACTAGTCTAAGAAGAACAGACTGGAGAGAACAGTGCTAAACACCTACATAACCTGTTGGACTGCTGGTCACATGACCTCAGGTAGGGATTGTGGGTAAAATTTAAGGGCATGTTATTTTTTTTTTTCATCATTTCGGTTATTCATTCAACCTGTCAAAGGTTGAATGAATAACCGAAATTATGAAAAGAATTCACATGCCAGTAAATTTTACCCACAATCCCTACCTGAGGTCATGTGACCAGCAGTCGACTACAGCAGAATACTAGAGTACGGTAAATGTTCATTAAATTACTGTCATCGATTTTTATTGTTAAGCACTTTTTTGTAACCTGCTGTTTTTGATGTGCTTTATAAATAAATTTGACTTGACTCCTGCTCTGCGGAGCTCACGAGTCACATGACTCATGGGGAGAGGAGAAATTTCCCTCCCCCTCCCGTTCTCTCCACTGTGAGCTTGTAACATGACATTTACCTACACAGAAAGATTTATTTTTTACTTTTATTTAAATATATACCAGTGACAAAATAGGCTACGTACAGTACCGTAAATGTTTTTCATTTTATTTATTTATTTTTAACAATGCCTTTAACACAGCTGAAGAAGAAAAAAATTCTTGGACTTTTCTGCTGTTCATGCTTGAGTGAAAGTGAAAATTTGTTTCCTCGTAATCTGAAGGAAGCTGCTGACAAAGAGTTGTACATGCCCTGATGGACGTCACTGTTCATCTCATAAATCTGAGACCCCTCCATGGTCCACCTTTAAATTCTTCAAGGTTGTTTTTGGTGGCGCTCTTTTTTACTTATTTTTTTACTTTATTTAAACGTGAGGGTTCTCGTGACTCAATGAGCGTACAGTACCTCGCTGTTCATTAGGGTGACTTCTGGTCACATGGCCACGGAGTGGGATTATGGGTATTTAGTAGTAAAATTGGAACCATGAGTGAGAAGTACATGTCCTAAGTACCTGTATCTCAAAAACCCTCCCTCAAGAGGGATGTGTGTTGGGCAGCTATGTGAGCGTTTAGGAGTGTCAAAGGGAAATGTTTATTGGCTGTAGGAAGCTCGGCAAAATAAATATAAAATAATATTTTAAGATTAAGAATGAATATATATATATATATATATATATATATATATATATATATATATATATACATACATGAATTAGCCGATCTTATGTACAAGCCACCAAGTCTAAAGCGTGAGGGAAAAAGTAGCTGCTTATAAACCGGAAATTACAGTAAATATTTACTGAGTAAAGTTGAGTTCTGTGATGTTTTTGAATGTATGGTTGTATAAAAGCCTTCAGCAGTTTTTGTTTGGACGTCACTGGCCCTGGCCCTGCTGCTGACTGGTGTTCCTGTCAGAGTTATTTTAAAACCTTAAATGCAACAATCCATGTCCTAACGCTTTGGCTCTGTCCAGTGTCACCACCCCGTACAACGCTGACTTTGACGGTGATGAGATGAACCTCCACCTGCCTCAGTCTCTGGAGACCAAGGCGGAGATCCAAGAGCTGGCCATGGTGCCACGTATGATCGTCACGCCTCAGTCCAACAGGCCCGTCATGGGTATCGTGCAGGACACCCTCACAGCTGTTCGCAAATTCACCAAAAGAGACGTCTTCTTAGAGAGGGTGAGCAGCAGGACCGCCAAGCTTCCTTTAAAACCGCCACGTCTTTCTAATTTCATGCACGTTTTCTCCTCCCGACAGGGCGAAGTCATGAACCTCCTCATGTTCCTCTCCACCTGGGACGGGAAAATGCCTCAGCCCGCCATCCTCAAACCGCGCCCGTTGTGGACGGGCAAGCAGGTCTTCAGCCTCATCATTCCAGGTCACATCAACGTGATCCGCACACACAGCACGCACCCCGACGACGAGGACAGCGGGCCTTACAAACACATCTCACCCGGCGACACCAAGGTACAAACAACCCATTTGTCTTCTGTACGTGGAGATTAGAGTTACAACTCATCACCACGCTCCTACACAGGTGATCGTGGAGAACGGGGAGCTGATCATGGGCATCCTGTGTAAGAAGTCCCTGGGAACCTCCGCCGGCTCCCTCGTCCACATCTCCTACCTGGAGATGGGCCACGACATCACCAGACTCTTCTACTCCAACATTCAGACGGTGGTCAACAACTGGCTGCTCATTGAGGGTAGGAACCAACAAGGAACAGGCTAAACATGCAAACACTTTCAAATGGACTTCTCTTTATGCAGATGCTTTTCTTGCTTGAATAGGTCATTCAATCGGTATTGGTGACTCCATCGCTGATGCCAAGACGTACCTCGACATCCAGAACACCATTAAGAAAGCCAAGCAGGATGTGATAGAAGTAAGAATGCATCTTTAAAACTTCTCAGACCCACAGGATGGTTCTTAACCAGTGGTTTTATTGTTGTTTCCTCCTGCTAGGTCATTGAGAAGGCTCACAACAACGAGCTGGAGCCGACCCCCGGTAACACCCTGAGGCAGACCTTCGAGAACCAGGTGAATCGTATCCTCAACGACGCTCGTGACAAAACGGGGTCTTCTGCCCAGAAGTCTCTGTCGGAGTACAACAACTTCAAGTCCATGGTGGTGGCCGGCTCCAAGGGCTCCAAGATTAACATCTCGCAGGTCGGATTCTTAACTGTTCTCACAGATGAGGGTTCGAGTTCGACTAAAGCTCACACTGCCTGACTCCTCAAATGTGCAGGTTATTGCCGTGGTGGGGCAGCAGAACGTGGAAGGTAAGCGAATCCCGTTTGGCTTCAAGCACCGGACTCTGCCTCACTTCATTAAAGACGACTACGGTCCTGAGAGCAGAGGCTTTGTGGAGAACTCCTACCTGGCCGGGTTGACGCCGACAGAGTTCTTCTTCCACGCCATGGGAGGCAGAGAGGGTCTGATTGATACGGCCGTCAAGACGGCCGAGACAGGCGAGTTCAGACGGCAGCGACGTGGCTGAACGCACCCTGCGTTAATCTTTGTCGCAGTAAGAGATTTACTAAAAGAAACCACTGATCTGCAATTCCAGGGTACATCCAGCGTCGTCTGATCAAATCCATGGAGTCCGTGATGGTGAAGTACGACGCCACCGTGCGGAACTCCATCAACCAGGTGGTGCAGCTGCGCTACGGCGAGGACGGCCTGGCGGGGGAGAACGTCGAGTTCCAAAACGTGGCGACGTTAAAACCCTCGCACAAGGCCTTCGAAAAGAAGTGAGTCTCCCCGCGGACTGCGTCGCAGTGGACTCAAAACAGGGAGGGGGTTAATTTAGGTTTTTCATCCGTTCAGGTTTAAGTTCGATTGCACCAACGAGCGCGCGCTGAGGCGGATACTGCAGGAGGACGTGGTGAAAGACGTGCAGACCAACGCCCACGTGCAGGGCGTCTTGGAGAGGGAGTTTGAGAAGATGAAGGAGGACAGGGAGATCCTGCGAGCCATTTTCCCGACCGGAGACAGTAAGGTGTGTGGTTGCAGCTGACGATGTATAAAAACACTGGGTTGTAATTAGGGGTGGGCGATATGGCTCAAATATAATATCGTGATATTTCAGAGCATTCTGACGATGACGATAAATTTTGTGATCTGACCCAAAAAAAAAACAGAAATCAAAGTTATTTGACAAAATTAACCTGTTGCTTTGCAGTATAATATAAAATTTAAAAAAACAAGGGGTAATTTTACTGAAATTACTTTATTAGTAAAATATTCAGTCTCCAAGTATAAAAAATAAAAATGATCCTTCTGTTATTTAGATTGAAAAAGTCTGCACAAAATATATAGATCAATAAATCCACCACAAAAACTAAAGCGCAGGTGAAGTTTCCTAAAATAACTAAATAAAATGAAGCTTAAGATCTGTTGAGCATAAATGTAACGCAACAAAATATATGTTGCCTTTAAATGAGTTGGGAACGGAGAGACAGTTGAGTTGTCTGTACCTGCAGTTTAGAGCTGGATGGAGAGACAGCTGAGCCGTGCGTTGTTTGTTTTTAGCTTTTTAGCTAGCTAGTATTGCGCGCAACTAATTAGCTTTACGTCAGTACCGGGGGGGCAATTCGGTTTGGTCGTTCGGCGCGCTCGTTTCTGTTAAAGGAGCGGAGCGCTTGACGTACTGCGTCATGAAATTAGCATATCATGGTAACTTTTTTTTTTTTTTTGCCCGGGCAAGCTTTTTTTGTCGGTATTATCGTGAACGATATGATATGGCCCAGACCTAGTTGTAATGGAGGGGAGGATTATTCTTCAAGTGCACAATTGACCTACATTTAAATATGTTTGGATTTAAATAAATACACAGGCATTTCAATAGAAGCAAAACATGTGGCAGACTGTGTAGTGCAGATCATAACAAGATCAACCTGCTTTAAATTCTTGTTTTCATAAATACATTTATTGAGGCAAGTGTTCAGAGCACAGGTGGTTTTTATGCTTGAAGTGAAGGAGGTGTCATGTTTTTCACTTGCATCAATGAAATGTTAATGGGCCTCAGCTAACACAAAAAGAGATTATAAACCAGTCAGTTTTACAGATACTGGGCTAAAGTTTGTTGTGGTAGTAGTTGAGAGTCATACTAGATGTTTACTTTAAACTCTGTCAGATCTTTGTTTAAAACTTTGACATGCAATGTGTTGAGCAGTTTCATTTAATACTCCCTTGTAATTAAAAATGTGCCTAACCCCTAACCCATGGTAAATTTTGGGCTTCTCTGAAATAATTACACCTGCACCTAAATAGTCAGCGGACTAGGAAGGTATTTTTTAAGTAAATATGCTTCTATTTAAAGATTTAGGGGTTCTGATAAACTTTAAGGAAAATGTCAGTGCTTGCAAGTGTTGCAGTTAGGGTTGTCAAACTCAGTTACCAAAATGAGACAAAATTTAAAAACTTTGTCCGAGCCACGGCCAACTTTCAGCCGATACCTTAACTCGAGTCAGATCCGATATCGTTTTGTGGTTGTAGGTTCATGACCAAGAGTTTGATCTGTCTCACTCGACGTTGTTGCTCTTTCCACATCAGAATCAATGACAGAATGATCCAGCCGTCTTTCTGGCCTCAAAGTTAGCCAGCTGGCAAGAGAAGTCTACACTAAGTGTTGTTTTAAAGAAAAATTTAGAAGAGCTACAATATTTTGCATTTAGATGATCGTCTTGGGGGACCAGAGTTGGTCCGCAGCTCTGGAGTTCTGTGCTTGTAGATGAAATCTTCATCATCTGTAATGTTTCTTCTCGCCTGTAGGTGGTGCTGCCGTGCAACCTGGCCAGGATGATCTGGAACGCCCAGAAGATTTTCCGAATCAACCCTCGAACCCCAACAGACCTGAATCCTCTGAGAGTGGTTGAAGGTAAGGTGGAGAGTAACCGAAGATGTTTAGATTCTAGAGGCGTTAAGATGAGGTGGTGTGAAACAACATCCCTGTGTGTTTGTTGTTTGGCTTGAGAGATGTTTACACATCTCGGTTCTGACTCTCGTGGTGTTTGTGTCCACGTGCGTCTGTTCGTCCGCAGGCGTTCACGATCTGAGCAAGAAGCTGATCATCGTGAACGGAGACGACCCCCTGAGCAGACAGGCCCAGGAGAACGCCACGCTGCTGTTCAACATCCACCTGCGCTCCACGCTCTGCTCCAAGCGCATGACGGAGGAGTTCCGCCTTTCCACCGAAGCTTTCGACTGGCTGCTGGGAGAGATCGAGACCAAGTTCAACCAGTCCATTGTACGTTCAGATGCGTTTGGAAGCGCTCGCAGCGTTGTTACGGTTCTAAAACCTTTCGATGTGAGAATATTGAATTTCTCTCCTACAGGCTCACCCAGGTGAAATGGTCGGTGCTCTGGCTGCTCAGTCACTGGGAGAGCCGGCCACCCAGATGACCCTGAACACTTTCCACTACGCCGGTGTGTCTGCCAAGAACGTAACTCTGGGTGTGCCTCGTCTGAAGGAGTTGATCAACATCTCGAAGAGGCCCAAGACGCCCTCGCTGACCGTTTTCCTGCTGGGTCAGGCAGCACGCGACGCTGAGAGGGCCAAGGACATCCTCTGTCGACTGGAGCACACCACGCTGCGCAAAGTAAGAACTTAACGAGGTTTGATTCAGAATATTGATCTCTGCCTTTGGTAGCAGTACGTTGTTCACCATTGATGGAATCTGCAAGAAGCTCTGAAGGTTTTTGTCAAAGACAAAAGGATTTTTTTTTTTTCAAAACGAGTAAGAAAACCCGCTCTCTTTGAAGCTTTATCGCTCCGACAAACTCCACAATCGAAACAGAATTCAAAGTTTAAACAAACAAAACGAGGACTTTGCACGTCTGAACTACCATTTTTGATATCTTTTATGATTATTACACAATTACGGTTTAATTTTGTTTAGTGCTATAATGGATAACGTTTAACTCTTATATATTTTTGCAAACACATTTTTTTTACTCTTAAATGATGCATCAAAACGTAGGCGTTTTGGCCTGTTTTCATTCAACATGTATTAAGTTGCTGTAGGATTTAATGTTTTCTCTTAAATCCCTCCAGAGTGCCCAGTAAATTCACCAAATCCCCAACTGGTCAGCTCAAATTTTTATTTTTAAAACTTGGAAGTAAAGGGTCTTTAACTTGTAATTTCTCCTAAATGAAACGCAGCAGAAAGGAAAAAGTTCCATCAGAACTTTCTGCTTTGAGGCTTTCTTTCTAGTCTGCATGTCTGCCTGTCATAATGATCTGCTGGCCTGAGCTCTAATGCCTCTTTTGATCTTGGTTCTTTTTCATATCTTATGCTTCAAAACATTGACGTTCTCTCTTATCTTAGTGTTGCTAGTAGAAAGTCCCAAATGACGGTTTGGTTTTATAAAAGAAACTTGACGAATGTTGAAATGTCGGACAGAAGCGTCCGTTTTTCTCGAAAAATGCCCATTTTACAGATTAAAAATGAGTCTTTACTTTCAGGTGACTGCCAACACCGCCATCTACTACGACCCGAACCCTCAGAACACGGTGGTGGCCGAGGACCAGGAGTGGGTGAACGTCTACTACGAGATGCCCGACTTCGACGTGACGCGCATTTCACCGTGGCTGCTGCGCATCGAGCTCGACCGCAAACACATGACTGACCGCAAACTGACCATGGAGCAGATCGCTGAGAAGATCAACGCAGGTGAGTCGTGTGATACGCTGTGGTCCGGTGCTTCAGATAGAATCAAGCAGTTCATCTGCTAAAGATGTGGTTCTGCTGTTTTCATTTGAGGTTTTGGAGACGATCTGAATTGCATCTTCAATGACGACAACGCTGAAAAGCTTGTGCTGCGAATCCGAATCATGAACAACGACGAGAGCAAGTTCCAAGAGGTGGGCATGGGAAGGTTTTTACAAATGCAGCAGTCCCTCGATACTTCGCGGTTCGACTTTTGTGGGTTTTCAGCATAAGCTTGTTTGTGACACACAATTGGCTGATTGATGGAAGGTGACCCAACCAGAGCTTTGTGCTGAAGGACGGACTTGCCATCGGGAGCACCGGGACATTTCCCGGTGGCCTGGCCTGCTCAGTGATTGCCGATGGGCCCCCTCCTTTCTCTTTCTGAGGCTGTCTGTCACAGCAGAGAAGAGACACAACAGGCGGGCGTGCAATCTGCTGTGACAACCTCAGAAAGAGAAAGGCGAGGGTGGGGTCTGTCTTTCCCCATCGCTGCTGTGGGAGCTTCAGTGAGGCGGATATCAAAGTGAGCGACATGGATTGTTTAGTTAAAATAATCAAGCACAACCCAAACCAAGACTTTAGTCCCCCTCAGCAATCACTGGGCGGGCCAGGCCACCGGGAAATGCCCCAATGCTCCTGATGGCCAGTCCGCCCCGGAGATTGGCTCAGTAACTGTAGCATCAGTCTCTCGTTTGCTGTGCTCTTTTAGAGCATTTAGAGTTTAGAACATTGTTTAGAACTTTGTAAGAGTGTGGGAAGGGTTTATAAAGCCTTAAAATATATAAATACTAAAATAAATGTAACATCCCTACTTCACGGATTTTCATCTATTGCGGGGGTGTCTGGAAAGTAACCCTGCGATTAAGTGTGGGGCTACTGTATAGTCACTAAAAACAGTTTTTCTTTGTATACACTCGTCGAAAGGGAGACAGATTATAGTCTTCATATGTCCGACTGTAAACTTTCTCTTGTCCCACCTGTAACTTCATAATAACAAGCAGTTGCTATAGATTAATTGTTGTCAGTGTGTGTATAATGCGAGGTATGAAGTACTCTCGATTATAGATCTCATTTGCTCTACCAGGACGAGGAGGTGGTGGACAAAATGGACGACGATGTGTTCTTGAGATGCATCGAGTCCAACATGCTGACAGACATGACTCTGCAGGGCATCGAGCAGATCAGCAAGGTAACAGCGTGAGCGCAGCAGGAACGTTTCGGCTTCAGAAGGATGGTATGAGAGAAACTCACCTGTGGCTCTTCTCTTTTTCAGGTGTACATGCACTTGCCTCAGACCGACAATAAGAAGAAGATCATCATCACGGACGACGGAGAGTTCAAGGCCCTGCAGGAGTGGATCCTCGAGACGGACGGCGTGAGTCTCATGAGGGTTCTCAGCGAGAAGGATGTAGACCCCGTCAGAACCACCTCCAATGACATTGTGGAAATCTTCACGGTACAAGAGCGTTGAGATGTTTTTAGCTTTGTGCGTGGATCAGTTTGCTTGGTGTTCACTTTGAGTCCGTCTGTGCAGGTTTTGGGGATTGAAGCGGTAAGAAAGGCGCTGGAGAGGGAGTTGTACCACGTCATCTCCTTTGACGGTTCCTACGTCAACTATCGTCACTTGGCTCTGCTTTGTGACACCATGACCTGCCGCGGTCATCTGATGGCCATCACACGTCACGGCATCAACCGTCAAGACACAGGACCTCTCATGAAGTGTTCCTTTGAGGAGACGGTATGAAGATCTACGAGTCTCGCAGTTCCCTAGCATCTGTTTACTTGTCTTCAATCAAGGTGTTTGTTTCAATCTCCTCTCCAGGTGGATGTGTTGATGGAGGCGTCGTCCCACGGAGAGTGTGACCCGATGAAGGGCGTGTCTGAGAACATCATGCTGGGCCAACTTGCCCCTGCAGGAACGGGCTGCTTTGACCTGCTGTTGGATGCTGAGAAGTGCAAATATGGGATGGAGATTCCAACGAACATTCCTGGCATCAGCGTGGCCGGACGTAAGAGGAGAAAGATTCGTTAAATGTAGATAGTAGGAGTAACGATAAAGTTAATATTCTGCCTCCTTCCGTTTTTAGCCACTGGAATGTTCTTCGGCTCAGTGCCAAGTCCCATGAGTGGTATGTCACCTGCCATGACGCCGTGGAACACGGGGGCCACCCCTGCCTACGGTGCCTGGTCCCCCAGTGTCGGTGAGTTTCAACACCCCCAAGATGTTTTGGCTTTTTTTTCTCGTTATACTTTATTGAGCCTCGTTAAATTTTCATTCTCGTCTCTTAGGAAGCGGCATGACCCCTGGAGCAGCGGGCTTCTCTCCCAGCGCAGCTTCAGACGCCAGTGGCTTCTCTCCAGGTTACTCCCCGGCCTGGTCTCCCACACCCGGGTCTCCAGGGTCTCCAGGACCTGCCAGTCCATACATCCCCTCCCCAGGTTAGACACACATCAGAAACATGGTTTTACAATAAAACCTGGTACAACTCAGGTTTTTATTCGGTTACAGATAGAAATGACAAAACAGACTTTACCCATTAGGAGGTTGAGAGGAGGGGAAGATATACAGACACATAGGTGTTGGTGTAGGTGGAGTTTCTATGGTAAGACGAGCAGAGAACATAGTTAATGACAGAAATAACTGCAAACATGGGGAGTAAAAGGAGTAAAGATGATAGCAAAGTAATGCGATTAGTTTGTCCTCCAGCAGTCTAATCCTATAGCAGAATAACTAAG